GGGTGCGGCACCACGCTGGCTTCCTGGAAAATTGCATGGTGAAGCAGGTGGCCACCGCTGGGTCCTAGTTTCCTGCAGGAGCAGTGCAGGCCTGGTTCCTTCTGGACCAAAGCCTCACACGCAGCAAGCCAGGGTCTAAACAGTTGGCACAGTGCTAGGAGCTGCTCTTTCTCCTGATTCTGGGGAATTCACTTTCACGCCTCAGACAATTCGAGGGTGAACCGGTGCAGGGAACCTGGAGATCTAGGGAGAGCACACAAGCTACTTTCTCAAGTATTGGATTCTGCAGGAGGAAAATCCTAACAAGACTGATTATTTCTTTTGTGGAGTAGCTTCCAAGGTAGAAATTATAAACACAGCTTTCCTGGCTCTCCCAATATTATTTATTAATGTGTGTGCCCAGAAGTACAATATGCTGCTTTTACTTTTTTGAAGCAGTGCTAAATAGGTATGATAATCTGTTGCTAAAGTTAGATTATTATTTATGGAAACCTCAACACTAGTTTAAGGTCTACAAGTGTTTAAAAAAGCTTTGTTTTTTTTTTTTTTTTTTGTTTTTTTTTGGTTTTTCTCCGGTACCGGGAACCGAACTAAAAAAACTTTGTATGTGGTACCTTAGATTCAGAATGGTATGATTTCTTTTTTCAGTGCTGGGAATTGAACTCAAAGCCTTTGCACTGAGCTACATCCCTAGAGCTTTTTAAACATTTATTTTTTATTTTGTGACAAGGTCTTGCTAAGTTGCTAAATTGCCCATTCTGGGCTCAAACTTGGGATCCTCCTGCCTCAGCCTCCCAGAATAGGGTGGTCGCAGGCAGGTACCACCACCCAGCCAAGTATGCATATTTTAAGTACTTACTTGATGGGTTTTTGATAAACTGAACACACCATGTAACCAACACTCAAATCAAGAGACAAAATATTACAATACCTCAGGTGCTTGCTCGTGACCGGGGTCATCGTGAATCCGAGCCGCTGGCTGCCCTTCTGACGTTTGACAGCTTGACTGGTTGTGCCCATTTTGTGCATATAGACTGAACCTCACAGGACAGCTTTCCTGTCTCCCACTGAGCTACAGCCCCAGCCTTGGCTTCCCATTTAACACCATATTTGTGAGACCCATTCAGATTGTGGTAGGTAGTCGGAGTTAGCCATAGCTCCTTTTTGAAATTATAAATAATAAATCATCATTTGCTTGTCTACTGTTGATGGGCAGTTTGGGTAGTTTTCATATTGGAGATGGTACAGACATCCTAAGACCTGTCTTTTGGGAGCATCTGGATGATTTCTGATGGAGTGGAAATATGCACATTATTATTATTTTTTATTCTCTTGTTTTTCTCGTGCTGGGAATGAACGAAGGGCCTCGTGACTGGTAGGCAAGCACCCTGCCACTGAGCGGCACCTCAGCCCTCACGTTATTTATTTGTTTGGTTCGGTTTTTGAGACAGGATCTCACTTGGTTCAAGCTGGCCGTAAACTCACTATGTAGGCCAGGCTGGCCTCCAGTTCCCAGCAGTTCTGCCTCAGCCTCCTGGGTGCTGGGATTACAGGGCTGTACCACCACCGCAGACTTTGGAGCACTGCTCTGGATGGGTGAGAAAGCAAGGGTGGTCCAATCCGGCCTGGTTTCTGAGCATGCTGCTCTTTCTCTGCTTCCCCTGGAGGCCCTATCCAGGGGCCTGGAGCTCCTGAGCTGAGGGCAGGGCTCCCCTCACCGTCACACACCCAAACTCTTGCCACCGTTTCCCTGCGGCACCTGTTCATCCTCTGCGCCTTTCAGCATGCTCTTCTGTTCTCAGCTCACCTCCCTGGCACCGACCCCAGCAACCAGGCACTTTCTCACCCGGCCCACACAGCCACCTGCTCAGACCAGCCCGCAGAGCCCTGTGCTCCTGGTGGCCCAGGCTTGCAGGAGCTGCACAGAAATCACAAGCGGGCTGCTTCAGGGAAGTCCGCGGGGACAGCTGTGGCTTGCCGTGACGTCCCAGGGCTGGCACCCACAGTCGCTGTGGACACAAAGGCTGGCACAGGCCTGCAGGGTCAGGGGCTGTAGGCAGAGGCGGGTCCTGAAGGAGCCACCGAGGCAGGGGGTTGAGTGAACAGAACGAAGGGGGCAGCTGGTTGTTTTGCCTCCTGCACGCGCTGCACGCTGGGTGAAGCTTCCTGGGACTCATATTTGGTCTGCCTTGAGTTCCCTGTGTAGCCCAGGTTGGCCTCAAACTTGCAGCAATCCTCCTGTTTCAGCTTCCTGAATGCTGGGATTATAGAACTATGTCCCTTCCTTGGATTTAAACTGACTTCACGTTCAGCTCTAGAATTGGACAACACGTACTGTATTTCACAAAACAGTAAGTTTTGCGAACAGATTGTATAGACAGAGGACTGGGGGAGAAAAAGCAAAAACAAAGAAGAAAAAGCAGATTAAATATTTCAGTTCCTTTCCTTGTAACGTGGAGACAATGAGCCGGAAGTGATGAAGAATAACGGATTGGTCAGCATGGGGTTGCTTGGGGTTACCTATTCTGTGGAAGGCTTCGGGTCGAGGGCCTTTCGTGATCGTGCTGGGTGAAGCTGGCTGGTTTGGCTGCAATCTCCCATTTTTCCTGGTTTCACAAAAGGAGATGGCATAGCTTTCATGGATCCCATGGAATCCGAGTGTGGATGACCCTGTTGTGACTTTCAGCCTGGGCAACCGGAGCCCTGGGCAGTAGCTCTGCTCTGAACCACGGCCTCCTGTAATTTTTCCTTAATATTTGAACATTTATTTTCTGTCCTTTTAAGTGTAGACCTAGAAGTGGAATCGTTAGGGCAGACGGTCAGGCTTTGCTTAGCTTTTTAAAGAACTGTGCTGTTTTCCATAGCTGCTGAATCACTTTATATTCCCACCAGCAACGTACGAGGAATTTCAGCAACTGCTCCGCATGCTTAGTGATACCTTTTTGGTTTGTTTCTGTTTTGTGAGACAGGGTTTCGCTATGCAGTTCAGGCTGGCCTTGAACTCGCTACATAGCCCCGGCTGGTCTCCAACTCACAGCCGTCCTCCTGCCTCAGCCTCCCTGGTGCTGGGATGACAGGCATGTGCCACCACACCTGGGGACACCTGAGCATCTCTTACGTCCCCAGCGTTGGCAGTAAGGCAGTGAACACAGCACTGAAAAGTCAAGAGCATTTTTTTTTAACTTTGTTCCCAACTTCCCTTATGAAATTAAATCCTGGCCCGAATTCTCAGGCCCAACTCCCGAAGGCACCTTTAGTGGGGGCTGTGCTCGGTCTCTGATCCCCCGGCAGCTCCTACCTGGCGTCAGTCCCACCTGACCACTGAGGGCCTGGGTTTTACAATCCCCGTCTAAGTGGCTAACAAGCGTTTACTGTAGTACTTGGAGTGGAGACCAACTGGGTCGCTGGCTTTACTGCTCCAAGTCCTTCAGCTTCTTCCTTCCATATTCAAAACGAAACAAAAAGTTTCTTACAGTATCCCCAAGTCCCTTTAAGAATAGACAAAGAAGTTGCTCCCTTGCTGGGGATACAGCTCCGTGGCATAAGCGCCTGCCTGGCAAATGCAAGGTCCTGAGTTCAATTCCCGATGCAAAAAGAAGAAGAAGAAGTTGCTCCCCTCTTTGGCTCAGGTGCCTGTGACAGGGGCCAGGAAGGTAAATCAGCGTGTGTGCCCTGGAGCCTTGGACAGGACTAAATGGCCAGGTGGCGCCCGTGTTTATCAACCAATTGCACTGATAGGAGTTGCTGGAAATCTTTCAACTTCTAGGGACGGCTGCTTCCTCCAGGGATGGGGTGTGGGTGTGGGAAGGCTGGGGGTGGCACTAGGGTGGCACTGAGTGGCACTGGACTCTGCTTGGACTGCTGCTCACCGTCCCCAGGGCACTCAGCTTGCTCACTGGGAGAATGGGTGTTCTTAACGCCTGCTAGTTTATTTTCAGTATTATATTCATGGGTTTCAAAGATCACCCCCGCCTCTCACTGAAGGTGACATAAAAGAGCCTGGCATTTCCTTTCAGGGACAGTCCTTCTGCAGCTGATGGGGGACATCCTGCTACTCAGGCACAGGTCCTTCTGCCTGCTGCTCTGGGGCTCTGGAGGTCACCACGTGGGCCAAATGCCACCGATCTTTTCCTGCTGGAGAGCCCGAGCCCAGGCACCCTGTGGAGCTTAGGGCCTTCCCCCATCTGCAGGTGCCAGCGTTCGCTGGCACTTGGTACCTGGCCAGTCTGTCAGATGACAGAAGCCCCCAGCCACCTCTTCCCGGGCTGCTGTCCACCTCCATCCGCCTGTTCTGTCCTTGAACCTCAGGTTGGAAGGAGAGAAAATGGCCCACTGAGGAGCCCAGAAGCTGGGTCCAAGCAGGGGCATCACTGGTTCCTCAGCCAGGACTCCGTGGCCTCTTCTTCCTCTTGGAGGCAGGAGACGGTGCCCCTACCCTGGCATGGCACAGCTCATGAGCCCTCTCCCCGCAGTTCTGGAGAGAAGCACAGTACCCCCCCACCCATTGGAGGCCTCAGCTATGTCCAGGGAGGCACCCGATTCCCTCTGACCCACAACACCGTAGGCCAGTGCCTGGATGCCACGGCGCAAAGGTTTCCCGACCGAGAGGCCTTGGTTGTCCTTCACGAAGATGTCAGGATGACCTTTGCCCAGCTCAAGGACCAGGTGGGTCCTGACCTTGAACCCTCAGCTTGGGCCAGGCTGGTCCCCGGGCTGCCCTGTCCCAGTACAGATGGAGAGTTGCATGTGACTGTGGGGTGCCTGAGGACCTCAAGGGATGGCAGCAGGGGACAGGGCTGAGGCAGAGGGGATGCCTCGGGAGCTCTGGGGGGACTTGTTGGCTGCACTGCAGACCCACTCAGGCCTGACCCTTTTCCCCCCTGTGATTCTGAGGCAGGCCAAGGGTGGGAGGCAGGGGTCCCTTCCTGTTTGCCCAGGCTCACCCTTTGTGCCCCATTTTTTTGCACCAGGTGGACAAAGCTGCTTCCGGTCTGCTGAGCATTGGTCTCAGCAAAGGTGATCGGCTGGGCATGTGGGGACCCAACTCCTACGCCTGGGTGCTCATGCAGTTGGCCACCGCTCAGGCGGGCATCGTTCTGGTGAGGGAGGAGTCTGCCTGGCACTGGGGGGATGTCGAGGGGACCTCGATGAGGGGAGCGCCTGCCTCCTTGGCCCTGAACCAAACCTGTGCCTGGCTCGTTTCAGACCCAGTGGTTCTTTCTCCTAAGGGGCCGCTGAGGAGCCGGGCCGGGTGGGTCCTGCCTTGTGCCTTCCGAGAGCGGAAGGGCAGCAGAGGGTTGTGTGCCTGCTCAGGACACTGAGGTGCCCTCACTGCCCCCTCAGGTGTCTGTGAACCCCGCCTACCAGGCTATGGAACTGGAATATGTCCTTAAAAAGGTAGGGCAGATTCCCAGGGGAAGGACCCTGTGGGAGCCTGGCTCAGAAGGACTTCCTGTCATCACAGAGGCTGACTGGGTTGGGGAGGGCCTGCTGGGTGACACTGCAGGGACAGTGTGGTTGGAAAGAGCTCTCCGGTCCACGGAGGGGCAGAACTCAGACTCAAGGCTGGTGTGGGCATTGGGTGTGTCAGGGTGGTAATGGCCACGTGTGTGTATTTGTCTTGCCCAGGGGTGGGCTATGTGCATCAGGAACCACGCATGTGCATGAGAGGACTCCTAGGGCCCCCATCTGGGGGTGCCTGCTGACCACAGCTGGGGGCTCCCCTTCTACAGGTGGGCTGCAAAGCCCTTGTGTTCCCCAAGCAATTCAAGAGCCAGCAATACTACAACATCCTGAAGCAGATCTGCCCGGAGCTGGACAAGGCGCAGCCAGGGGCCCTGAAGAGTAAGAGGTGGGTGTGTCTTGGTCTCCGGGAGCCGGAGGCGGGTTCCTCACCCCCTGTAGACGCCGGGGTGCAGGCGGCCTCTCCCTGAGTCCTCCCTGAGGCCCAGGCTCTCCCTAGGCTCCCAGATCTGACCACAGTCATCTCGCTGGACACCCCTCTCCCGGGGACCCTGCTGCTCGACGAGGTGGTGGCGGAAGGCGGCAGAGAGCAACATCTGGCCCAGCTGCGGCACGCCCAGCAGTTCCTGTCCTGCTATGACCCCATCAACATCCAGTTCACCTCGGTAGGGCACGGGTCTCCAGGCGCATGCCCAGCTGGCCCCTACCCGCTGCCCCCTGCCCCAGTGCCGCTTCCCCAGGGGCGGGCCAACAGCGCACCCTCGCTTCGCACCCGCTTGCTCCCAGGACCTCCCTCCACCTTCCCAGCCTCCGGCTCCTCTGGGCAGTGGCCAAGGATGTGGGGGAGGTCAAGCTGTCGCCTGCTTCTCTTCTCAGGGGACAACAGGCAGCCCCAAGGGCGCCACTCTCTCCCACCACAACATCGTGAACAACTCCGACCTGATGGGCCAGCGCCTGCGCATGCCCGTGAAGGTGAGCTGCGGGCCGGGTTGCGCTTCCAGGCCACGGACCCCCGCCGCGGGGTGGGGAGGTGGTGAGGGGGTGGCTTTGCCGGGCGCCCCCTGCTGGCCGGATGACTCCATGACGGACCCGGCCTCCTGTCTCCATCTCTAGCCGCCGCAGGAGTTGCGGGTGGTCCTGCCCTGCCCCCTGTACCACTGCCTGGGCTCCGTGGGGGGCACAATGGTGTGTGTGCTGAACGGTGCCACCCTCCTCCTGTCCTCGCCAAGCTTCAATGGCAAGAAGGCTCTGGAAGCCATCAGCAGAGAGAAGTGGGCATTGGTGGACAGGCTACCCACAGGCTGATGAGAACTCCTACTCCTCCCTCCTGGGCCCTGACCCCTTCCCAAGATGTTGTCCCTCCAGCCCAGAGACCCAGGACGGGGCAGGAGGGGAGTCCCGGGATCCTGCCTGGAACTTCTGCCTGTTCCCCTCGGCTTTGGCCTTCACAGTGGGGTGGGTGGGGGAGAGGGACTTCCTTCACCTCCAAGCCTAATTTGGAGGCCCCCCTCTTTACACAGAGGCTCCATGCTGTATGGCACCCCCACGATGTTCGTGGACATTCTGAATCAGCCGGACTTCTCCAGTTACAACCTCTCATCTATACGTGGAGGTGGGGTGGGGCCGAGGACTGTTGGGGGTGGGGAGGGAGCAGGAAGGTCACTACAGAAATGTGGGTGGGAGCTGGTCCCAGCACCCTGGGAGGCCCAGGCAGGAGGATCATAAGTTCAAGTCCTGCCTGGGCAACTTAGTGACCTAGTGTGAACCTCTATCTCTCAAAAAAATTTTTTTAAAGGACTGGGGCTGTAGCTCAGTTGCTAAGGCCCTGAGTTCCATCCTCATTATTGCAAAAATAAATACATAAATTTAAAAAAAAAAAATGGGTGGGAAGGAGTCAAATCCACAGTGTTCCTGGATACCAGGCCAAGGCCAGCGGTGGGTATAGACCAGGCCCAGAGTCAGGAGAGAGAAGGGAATGTTCTCCCCCGAATGAGCAGTGAAGTGGGCCTGTGCGTGGGGGGTGCGAGTCGGCCTTTCTCTGATTCAGGTGTGATCGCCGGCTCCCCTGCACCCCCAGAGCTGATCCGAGCCATCATCAACAAGATGAATATGCAAGAGCTGGTGGTGAGTGGTGGCCAGAGAAAGACAGGGACTGCAGGTGGCCCTCTCTGCAGAAAGCAGAGCCAGGGAGACATCTGACCTCCCCAGTGCCTGGCAAGGCATGGGGAGAGGGGGCGGGGGAGTAAATATTATACAGACGTAAGTTTATTTTTATAGAAATCTGGGGCAGAAACGCAGCATGGAAGGCTGTGCGGCAAAGCTCCGGCGCCCTGTCTACCATCCTGGCAGGCGGGGACGATGGAGTCAGGCTGGGACAAGGGTCTGATGCTTGCTTCCGGATGGTCGGGGACGGGGAGCGTGGTCCCAGTGAGCACCTTGTTCTGGGGCTGTGGGCCTCGGCTTCTGTGAGAGGAGCCCCTGGGGCAGGGCGTGATGGCTGGGAGGGGCTCCATGTCCTTCCTGGGCCCTGCCAGGACATAGGCGGCGGAGGCCGGGGGAGAAGGCGGTGGAAGGTCAGTAGTCTCTCCGGCGGAAGGAAGGCAGAGGCCAGTCACCAGGACCGGCCGGGTCGGGACCTGCAGGGAGGCAAGGATGGCTGTCAGGACCCTGGTGATCCACATGGGGTCGGGAGGGCCTCGTGAGCCCTGGGCAGGGTCCTTTCCTCCCGGGGAGGGAGACCCAGTCTTCCCCTCCCGTCCCCGAGACAGTGAGGCTCCGCCTGCCCGGCTTCTACCTGTTCAGTGGCGGCCGGCTTTCTTGGACCTCTTGGTGGGGGACTTGCAGCTGCGGAAGGCGTCTGTGTCACGGATGTGCTGGCCCCTGAACTTGGCGGGCGATGCGCAGGTGGCATCGGGGCGCGAAGTCTTGGCTTCCAGCCATCTGGAGAGACAGAGACTTGCCGGTAGGGCAGAAATGTGGCAGTGCTGGCGGCTGGGAGGGATGGGGAGCCACGGGGCCAGGAGAGACGTGAATTTGTCTTTTTTTCTCTTTTTTTGCAGTATGGGGATTGAACCCAGGACTTTACCCTGAGACACATCCCCAGCCCCACCCCACCTCTCTCTCTCTCTCTCTCTTTTGAGATAGGTTCTCCCTGAGCCACTAAATTGGGTTGGGCTCCAAGTTGTGATCCTCCTGGCTCAGCCTAGCAGAGTGCTGGGAGTACAGATGTGCACCAGGACACCCGGCTTCGTTATAACAATGGGGAAACAGGCTGCATTCCTATTGTAGATCTAGGATGTCTGCCCAGGATATCTTAGTGCAGGGCCATCAAATGGGTGTGTGTGTGGGGACCTGGGGGATTCTCACCGCCGAAGGCCCCGGAGCTGGCAGGTGCACTTCCAGGGGTTGCTGGTGAGGGTGAGGGTCTCCAGGTTGTCAAAGGGAAAGTTGGAGGGCAGCTGGTTCAGTCGGTTGTTCTCCAGATGGACATGTTTCAGAGTAGTCACACCCAGGAAGGCACCATCCGAGAACTGGAGAGGTCGGGTGGGGGGAGCAGGAGTGAGCGTCCAGCCCCAGGCTTAGCCTCCTCAGGCTCTGCAGCTCTGTCTCCCAGAGGGACAGGGCCCTTCTTTGGACAGAGCACTGGTACCTTGAGCAGTTGTAGCTTCCTTTCTTTCTTGCCTTTTTTTTTTTTTTTTTTTTTTGAGACAGAGACTCAATATGTAGTCTAGGCTGTCCTATATAGCACAGGCTGGCTTTGAACTCCTGGCTATCCTCCTGCCTCAGCCTCCCAAATGCTGGGATAATGGGTATGCATGTGCCACTGAGCCAGGCTTGCAGTTGCAGTTTCAAAACAGAAAGCTGCTTTGACTAAGCAGTCTGGATGAGCTAATCCGCATGGCCCCCTTGGAGATAGGTGTTGTTTCCAATGTGCAGATGACAAAATGGAAAAAGTTCCGTCCCTTGGCCAAGAGCACACTAGCGAGTTGACAGTAGCCGCGCGGGACCACACCCTGCACAAACACTGGCCCTGGGGAAGCAGCCAGAGTTTGGCCCCAGAAGCCCAGGCTGGCACACAGTGAACATGGGCAGTGTTTGGTGGGGTGGGCAGCGGGCCCAGGGTCCTGGGACTTCCCCCAGCTCTGTCCTCAGTGTCCCCTTGCTGCCCGCCAGACTCTATTTGTGGAGACACCTTGGTGGACTTTGGCCAGATCGGCGGCTCCAGAGGAAATGTTCTATTGGTGCCCACATCTTGGCACCACGGTTCCTGTCTGGCCACACCTGTCCAAATCAGCCCCTGATAGGCTGTTCTGGTGCCCATCAGACCACTCCTGCCCTGCTGAGCACAGGGGCTGCCTCCTTCAGCTGGGGCGGGGCCCAGGCAGGCTGTCCTCCCAAGGCTGGCTGCTGCCCAGGTGGGATCTGCCCTCGTCTCTGGGTTGGTGCCCAGTTCAGGATGGCCTCCAACTCATGGTGATCCTCCTGCCTCAGCCTTCTGAGTGCTGGGATTACAGACATATGCCACCAAGCCTGGCTGGAGTATGACATCCTCTAGTCACCAGACTGTCCTTAACCTTATCCTGGTCCCTCCCAACCTGGCTGAAGCCCCTGTGCCAGCATGATTTTCCAGTCCCACCCACGGGGGCCCCATGTGAACAGTGGAACAGCGTGGGCGTTCCAGGGCAGAAGGATGAGGGAGATGTGCAGGTACGTAGTTCTGGTGATGGGGTGGGCAGAGGCGAGCCGGCGGTCTGGGGGACAGTGAGGCCCAGCCAGTCTTCCCTATGGGGAGACCCCGGGGTCTGTGCCAAAGTTTGGCAATGGTGTTCCTGCCTTTGCTCTACCACGGAGCCCATGGGCACCGTGCCTTGCAGCCTTTGGCCCCTGTGCCTTGATTTCCCCACTCAGCTGGAGAATGCAGAGGGTTGTATGTAGGGGAGTGGGGACTGGTGGGTATCAAGGGCAGCGGCTCACCAGGCTTCTGTGGGGTGAGGAGGTCTTCCTGGGGTACCTGCTCTCCCTCCCGCTCTGGTCCCCGTTCCACTTTAGCACGCAGGCCGCCCCGCCAGGAACAGGGTCTCTTTGTGGGCCTGATTTTCCCAGCTCTTTAGCAAACAAACCTTCCTTTATGGGATGCTGGGTTTCCTGGAGCCTGGGCAGAGCCCGGAGGAGGGGCGGAGGGCTCCGGCAGAAGAGACAGCTGCCGCTCCCAGCGGGGCTTGAGAGTGCAGGACATGCCTCCCAGAAGGCCGTTTATGGGATCGGGGCAGCGCCCACTTCTCTGGGTAGGAATCCTGGGAGAATTCAAGTGGCTGAGACAAGAAACTGGACAGGGGTTAGGATGGTGTAGGCCAGGGTGTGACAGGATACAGGAGAGAGGGGCAGAGCTCTGAGCCACAGCCCGGTGCCCAGCCGTGCTCCTGGCCCCCAGGCCTCCAGGCAGGGCGGAGGGAGCTGGGCCAGAGCTCCGCTGTCAGGCACTCACCTTCTCCAGGCTGGTGTTGTCCAGCCACAGGGTCTCCAGGTAGCGGCCGAAGGACTGGAAGGCGCCATCTGGAATGCTCTTCAGAGGGTTGTGAGACAGCTTCAGCTCTTCTACCACACGCAGCTTGCTCAGAGCGGCGGCCGGGTAGCTGGACAGCTGGTTCCTGTCCAGGTAGAACTTGGCGAGGTTCTCCACATCGTCCAGGGCGCCGGGCTGCAGGGAGCTGAGCGCGTTCTCCGACAGGTAGAGCCAGCGCAGGTCCTTGGCGCCCTGGAAGGCGCCTGCCCGCAGCTCTCGGATCTTGTTGTTGTTGAGCTGCAGGATGAAGAGGTTCACCAGGGGGGACAGCAGCCCCCGGGGCAGCTCGGTCACTTTGTTGTGGTCCAGGTAGAGGTAGGTGAGCTCCGTCAGGTCGTCGAAGGCGCCGGCGCGCAGCGTGCGGATGTCGTTGTGGGACAGGTACAGGTAGATGAGCTGCCTGAGGCCCCGGAAGGCGCCAGCGGCCACCTCGCGGATCTGGCAGTGCTGCAGGTGCAGCGACACCAGGTTGGGCATGGCGCGGAAGGAGTTGGCCGCCAGCACCGGGAAGTCGTTACGCTGCAGGTTGAGCAGCTTGGTCTTCTCCGACACCTTGGGGATCTTCCGGAGCCCTACCTTGTCACAGATGACGTGCTGCAGGTCCCCGTGGCAGTGGCAGTTCTGGGGGCAAGCGGCCAGCGCCGGCAGCAGAATGGCCAGGAGGCCGAGGCTGAGCAGGATCGTTGCATGGGCCATGGCCAGGGTGCCCGGACACCAGGCCGGAGGCAGCAGCCAGTTGTCGCGGCGCTCGGGTCTCCCGCCCTATTTATACGGTGGCCCTGACCGCAGCCCGAAGCCCAGCCAGCTACTACGTGGAGCATCGGGGCCCCCGGACTTAACCCCCTCATGCCCAGAGGTGCATCCCGCCCTCTACGGTGAGGGGCGTGGGGGCCCCTTCCTGCAGACCACCATGCTGGGGGTCTGGGACCCCCTTCCTGTCCTGCTCCAGGATAAGCTGCCTCTCAGCTCCCTTCCCTGGCTTTTTTAGGGGCAAGGGAGGATAGCGGGTGTGTCCAGATCCCCAGTTTGCACCAGAGAGAGGGAGGCGTTCCCAGAACTTATTTGTTTGCTTAAGTCTGAGTCTCCACGAGACGCCCCCCTCGGCGGGGTGCCCTGGCCCCGGGAGGGAGGAAGCAAGCGCGGCCGGACAGCCGGATGCATCTCCTGCGGTCGGTGCTTTCATGGGGCGCTTGTGTGGCGCCGGGAGAGCCGCTCTGGTGTCTGGTTTCCCCTTTTGGCTTCCAAGTCCAGAGCCTACCCTAAGGAGATGGGTGCTCCTTCGCCACCCTGGGCTCGCTGACCTCTGACCCCGCTTCATGCCCAGGTTTGCGGTTCTGTCCCTTGCACCCCACCACCCCCTCTTCCCTAGGGGTGAAAGGTGGGCACGAGGGGCGAGCGACCTGCGAGACTGGCAAACACACCTGGAGGCCACAGGCCGCTGACCAAGGACACTTGCGTCACTGCCTTCTTTACTCTCCCCCCAAATATCCCCATCCCCTCACCGCCTCTCGTGGTCAGGTTCCGCCCCTGGGGGGTCTCAGGGTGGCAGCCCAGTGGCGCCGAGGTGTACTTGGCAGAGGCCACACCTGGGCAGTGGCCCCAGGACTGTGAGGTTGGGGGAAGGGGTTGGATCCAGGCTGCAGGGGCTCAGGCTGCCAGACGCTAGGTTATGGGCAGCCCCACCCCAGGGGACCAGGTCTCTGTGCCCACTTGCCAGCCGTGTGTCCAGATTCCTGTGGGCAGGGGAGAACAGAAGCAGGCAGGTCACACTCTGGCCCCGGCGTGAGCTCTGGGCTGCCTGGAAGGAGGGGTTGTCTGTTTGGAAAGGAGGGAAATGATACAGGGAGACAGGGGAGACAGATCTGTTGGAATCAGGGTTGCAGAGCCTCTGCCCACCCGCAGCGCCCAGTGTGGGGCTTGGTCTTTCTTTCAAACCCCTTCCCCTGCCTGCCTCCAGGATGGGGGTCCCTCTTGGCTCAGTATTCCCTGATGGTTTTAAGTTGGCTTCTGGTTTTTCTGTTGTTCAGGATGTTCCAACCGCTAAAAAAAAGCGGGGGGTGGGGTGCCACAGGCGGTTTAGATTCCTGCCCTGGCTGTATTTTTAAATCGATGGAAATAAATTTACAAGAACCTCTCCAGAGTTTGGGGCGCACACAGCCCAAGGTCAGACACTTGTCCCGGGCTGGGGGGCGGGGTGGGGTGTTGTGTCTGGTCACTCCCAGCCTGACCGAGGCAGGCTGGCTTTCTCATCAAGTTTATGGGGCCTTTGGCTTGGAAGGGAAGGAGAAAGGATGTTGTGACTTGAAATCGGGAAGGTGGAGCAGCTTGGGGGTGGGGGAAAGAAGTCTGGGGTGCTGGGAGCGCAGCAGCCACAGACAGACGTGTGGCTGTCTTGGGATAGAATGGCTTCCCTGCTGTCAGTTTTATTACTGATCTAGGGCCGCTGCAGGGATCAGCACTCTGGTCCCTGACCCCTGACCCCTGACCCCTGACCCCTGACGCCCACCACTCTGCCATCCGTCTGCAGTCCATGCACTCCCCACAGACACCTTTTCTGGGCTCTCTAGGTTGTTTATGGAACCACAGAGAACAGTCCCGTGACCTTCATGAATTTCCCCGAGGACACCCTGGAGCAGAAGGCAGAAAGTGTGGGCAGGGTTATGCCGCACACAGAGGTGAGCCTGGACTGGGACCCCCGGAGCCCTGCCCCCCCCCGGGCATCTGCTGCCCGCTCTTAGAGATGCACACCATTTGCTGAAGGTGCCAGAGCCCCACCGCAGGGTTTTGCTGGGCCTGCCAGGCTCTCTCTGTCCTGCAGCTCTGGAGGGGGAGAGCTGGGACAGCAGCCCTGAGCGGCTGCCAGCCGAACCTCTCCGCAGCCTCCTTTCCTGTCTGAGGGGTGTTTTTGCCAAGCCCACTGTCTATTTCAGGGCAGCCAGGGTCGCCGCAGAGAGGAGCCAGGGCACGGATTTTTCCTACACAGCTCTTTCCTCCCCGCGGGCTCCTCCCGCTCACTCCTGCAGAGCTGGGCTTGGGCCTGGGCATAAACACTTGGTTTCCCTGCATCCTGTCTCTTTGGGGGTCCCGTGCCCCTCACTCTCAGGGCACAGCTCAAAGTACCTTCCAGTCCAAGCTTCTTTCCCGCGTTCTGCCAGGCAGCCTGAGCTTCCCTGCCCCTGGCCAGGGTGCCCACACTCGGGTCTGACACCCACCTGCTACCCTCCTGGGGTGCCCCCCCCCCAGGCAGCCCGGCAGGCTTGGTTCTGCCTGTCCCCCAGGTGCAGACTGCGGCACGGTCTCCGCCCCCCTTGGCCCTGGGCTCTCAGACTCTGCCTCCTGTCCACATGGTGCTGCCACGCCACCCTGTTTGGCTTCTCTATTTAAAATGCCACTTAACCAAAAGGGAGCGGAGACTGCCTTTCCTTCTGCATGGTTTATAATTCTGCAGCTGCCATGGCTCTGCTCGGCCGCTTTCTCTGCGACAGCTCCCTGCCCACTCTGTGAGCTCAGCACCCCCTGCCCAGGGTTCACTGGGCTTTCACGCCCAGCCCAAGTCGCTGCCTACTGATGGGTCCACTCTCTTCCCTGGGCCGGATGGGCAGAGCTGGGGCCCTCATTAGTGGGAGAGGAGGCCAAGCTCTCCCAATCCCGAGTCCTGCCCAGGCTGAAGCTGACCTGTCCCAGGCCCAGATCGTGAACGTGGAGACTGGGGAGCTGGCAGCACTGAACACGCCTGGGGAGCTGTGCATCCGGGGCTACTGCGTCATGCAAGGCTACTGGGCCGAGCCACAGAAGACTTTTGAAGCCGTCGGGCAGGACAAGTGGTACCGGACAGGGTGAGACGGCCCGGTGGGGCTCTGGCTGGGGCTCCTGAGGCTGAGCTGGGAGCATTAAACTGGCACAGGAAGCCAGGGTGCTGAGGGTGCCCCTCCTACACCGGGGACTTAATTTCTGAGACGTGAACAGTATATGGCAGCACTTGGGAGGCTGAGGCAGGAAGATCGTTGTGAGTTCGAGGCCAGCCTGAGCTACAAAGCGAGCTCAAGGCCAGCCTGAACTGTGTATAGAGAGACCCTGTCTCAAAAAGATTAAAAAAACCCAAAAAACAGTATATGGAACCACAACAAAAGTAAGGCAGGATGTGAGGACAGGCCGCTACCCCTGTAGCTGCAAGGTTGGAGCCAGGGTCTGGCTGTTCATTGGTTAGCTCAGCATGTTCACACTGTATCCCCGTGTGCGGGCACTGTGCCAGGCCCAGGGGCCCCATGGAAAGCAAAGTGAGAAGGACCTAACTCTTACCTCCCACTGGGCTGAGAGAGAAAGACAGAAAATTGCTTTCTTTCCTTTTTTTTTTTTTTTTCCTAGTGGGGCTGGGGTTGGTTTGAGACAAGGTCTTGCTGTGTAGTCTGGCCTGGCCTTGAATGCGAGTCTTCCTGCCACAGCCTTCCAAGTGATGGGATTATACATGAGAACTGCCACCGCTGGAAGAAAGACAGATGATTTCAGACATCAAAAAGTTAAAAGGAGCCAGCTTTGGTGGCACATATCTGTAAACTCAAAACTCAGGAGGCTGAGGCAGGAGGATTGTCATGAGTTTAAGGCCAGCCTGGGGTATATAGTGAGTTCAAGCCTAGCCTGGGGTACATAGTGAGACCCCATCTCAAGAAACAAGATGAAATCATTACCCTGATACAAAAACCAGAGAAGGATCCAACCAAAAAAGAGAACTACAAGCCAGTCTCCCTAATGAGCATAGAAGCAAAACTCAATAAAATACTGGCAAACAGGCTGGGCATTGTGGTGCACATCTGTCATCCCAGCACTCGGGAGGCTGAGGCAGAAGGATCATTGCTAGTTCAAGGCCAGCCTGAGTTACAAAGTGAGCTCAAGCCCAGCCTGAACTGCATACATAGTGAGATCCTGTCTCAAAAAGACAACACACACACACACACACACACACACACACACAATCCTTGGCAAACAGAATGCAGCAAATCATCAACTATGCACCATGACCAAGTGGAATTCATCCTAGGAATGCAGGGGTGGTTCAACATATGTAAATCAGTAAATGTAATACACTATGTCAAAAGAACCTAGGACAAAAACCATTCTATCATTTCATAGATATAGAAAAAGCATTTGACAAAGTCTAACACTTATTCATGATAAAAAAACCCTGCAGAAAATTGGAATAGATGGTCTTTACCTCAATCTGATCAAAGCCATTTATGACAAACCAACAGGCAACATCATACTAAATGAACAAAAACTGAAGGGCTGGGGATATAACTCAGTGGCACAACGCCTGCCTGGCAAGTGCTGGGTTGTGAGTTTGATTCCTGGAACCTCCCCCCAAAAACTTGAAAGCTTTCTCTCTAAAATCAGGAGCAAGACAAAGATGTCCACTATCACCACTTCTATTCAATATAGTTCTGGAAATATTAGCGAGAGCAATTAAACAAAAGAAAGAAAAAAGAATAAAAGATAGGAAAGGAAGAAATTAATTATTTGCAGATGACATGATACTCTACATAGAAGACCCCAAAAATTCCACCAAAACACTCCTAGATTTGATAACCAAATTCAGTAGCATAGCTGGATACAAAGTCAGCACTCAAAAGGAACAGGATTTCTGTACACACTTAACAAAGAGAAATTAGAGAAATACCATTTTTCACAATAGTATCCAAAAAATGAAACACCTAGCAATCAATCTAAGGAAGGAGGTAAAAGATATCTACATTAAAAACAACAGTACTCTGAAAAAGGAGATTGAAGAAGATATCAGAAAATGGACCTGGTACCTGAACAAAAACAAAAACAAAAAAAAAAAAAAAAAAAAAGAAAAGAAAATGGAAAATGGATATCGCTTGTTCTTGGGTAGGAAAAACCAATATACAGGGGCTGGGGACTTAGCTCAGCGGCACAGCGCCTGCGTGGCAAGCACAAGGTTGTGAGTTCGATTCCCAGTACCGGGGAAAAAAAACCAATACAGTGAAAATGGCCACATTCTCAAAATTGCTACACAGATTTAATGCAATCCTGATCAAAATTCCAACAATGTATATCACAGAATTAGAAAAAATATTTCTAAAATTCATTTGGAACAGAAGAGACCTAGAATAGCAAAAACAATTCTGGGCAACAAAGGCAAGGCAGAAAGCATCATAATCCCTTACTTGAAATTATACTACAAAGCCACTGTGGTAAAAACAGCATGGTACTGGTTAAAAAAAAAAAAAACAGACCCAAGGATCAATAGAACAGATTAGAAGATGCAGAAATAACTCTACACACACTCAGCCACCTTATCTTTGACAAAGGTGCCAAACACCTTCACTGGAAGAAAGATAGCCTCTTTAATAAGTGGTGCTGGAAAAACTGTCTCTGCACATGTTGAAGATTAAAACTAGATCCATATCTTTCACCATGCATTAAATTAAAATTAAAATGGATCAAAGATCTAAATATTAAAACAGAAACACTAAATCTGCTGGAAGATAGACTAGGTAGGACTCTTGAAGCCATTGGTGCAGGCAAAACTTTATAAACAAAAGCCCAAAACTATCACAAAAAACCAACAAGTGCGGGGCTGGGGATTAAGCTCAGCGGCACAGTGCCTGCCTGGCAAGCGCAAGGTCATGAGTTCGATTCCCGGTACCAGAAAAAAAAGCACAAAAAAAACAAAAACAAAAGAATCAACTGGAATCTCATTTAGTAAAACGATGTTGCACAGCAAGAGAAACCATCAACGGAGTGAGGAGACAACCCACAGTATGGGAAAAATTTTTTTCCAGCTGTTCTTCAGACAAAAGACTACTATCTAGAATATATAAAGAAAAATATAGAATATATAAAGAACTCAAAAAAATCAGACCCCCCCATATTTAAAGACACAGTCCAAAAATGGGCATCAGAGATAAATAGATACTTCTCAAATGAAGAAGTAGAAATGGCAAATAAATATATGAAAAATGTTCAACATCACTGGTCATTTGAAATTAAAAACAGCACTGAGATTCCATCTCACTTTAGAAAGTGGCTATTATCAAGAAATCAACCAGTAGCAAATGCTGGTAAGGCTGTGGGGAAAAAGGAACGCTTTTCCACTGTTGGTGGGAGTATATAGACTTTTATGACCACTATGGAAATCAGTGTAGAAATTTCTTAAAAAATTAAAACTAGCCGGGCACGGTGGGGTACATCTGTAATCCCAGCACTCAGGAGGCTGAGGCAGGAGGATCATTACGAGTTCGAGACCAGGCTGGTCTACACAGTGAGCTCAAGGCCATCCTGTACTGCATAACGAGACCCTGTCTCAAAAAGACAATTAAAATAAAATCTAAAGAAATCTAAAAGTAGAGGTCTCATTGGCCTTCGCTATTCCCCTTTTTTGGTATCTTCCTGAAAAAATTAAAAGCATCATACCATAGCGATATATGTACCTCCATATTTATATTGGCATAGTTGGTGATAGCTAAATCTTGGAAACATCCCAGATGCCCATCAACCCATGAATGGATAAAGAAGATGTGGTTTTAAAGTACAATGGAGTACTACTCTGCTGTAAAGAAGGATAAGCTTGAGAGATTTCTAGCTAAAGGGATGTACCATGAGACCATACTTTTAAGTGAAGTAAATTGGACACACATGTGTAAATATTGAATGGTTTCTGTGGTGTAAGAAATGAAAAGTATAATTACAACAATTAAAAGGAGCTGGGTGTAGTGGCACATCCCTATAACCTCAGCACTCGGGGGAGCTGAGGCAGAAGGATCCCAAGTTCAAACCCAGTCTTAGAGACTTAATAAGACCCTGTCTCAAAATTAAAAAAAAAAAAAGGACTGGGGATGTAGCTTACTGTGAAGGCTCTGTGTTCAATCCCTACTATTGAGAAAAAAATAACTAAATAAAGGGTGTTATAGGAGAGAAAGTAGCTTTGGTGGTTCAGTGCTGGGGAACACTTTTCCTGCTACTAGGAATCAAACTCGGGACCTTATGCTCGCCAGGCAGGTGCAATTCTGTTGAACTATATCCCCAGCCCTGGAAATGTTTGAACTAAGATCCCAATGATAAAAAGGACGCAGGCCAGGCATGGCGGTGCACACCTGTCATTTCAACACTTAGAAGGCTGAGGCAGGAAAATTGCCACGAGTTTGAGGCCATCCTGGGCTACATAGTGAGTTCAAGGCCACCCTGAATTATATAGTGAGATCCTGTCTCAAAAAACAAATGAACAAAAAAGCCAGCCAAGAGATATTGTAGATACAGAAAAGAGGGAGAGAGAGAGAGGGCAAACGTGCTAGGTATTGTACAGGCTTGTTGGTCTCTGCCTCCCTCTCTGGAGTGTAAATTCCAGGAGCCGTGTCTTGTTTCTGCTGTGAGACCCAGAGTAGCACACAGAAGGACATGTAGTAGGTGCTCAATAAATGTTAGAACAGTAGAGGAAATGGGCCGGCGGAAAGGCAGGGGCGAGAGGGGCTGTTCCTGGCTTTCCCTACAGAGACATCGCCACCATGGACGAGGACGGCTTCTGTAAGATTGTGGGGCGCTCGAAGGACATGATCATCCGGGGAGGTGAGAACATCTACCCCGCGGAGCTGGAGGACTTCTTCCACACGCACCCGCAGGTGCAGGAGGTGCAGGTAAGGCACTCTGCCCCGGAAGCCTGGGCGCGGGGAGATGGTGATGTCTGATGCTTGTCTTTGCCGCCGAAGGTGGTGGGAGTGAAGGACCCGAGGATGGGGGAGGAAATCTGTGCCTGCATCCGGCTGAAGAGTGGGGAGACCACCACAGAGGAGGAGATCAAAGCATTCTGCAAAGGGAAGGTGGGCGAGCAGCGGTGTCCCCCAGCCTCTGCCCTGCCTCTGCCTTCTACCCTTGCTCAGCCTCACGCTTTCCCTTCTGCCTCGCAGATTTCCCACTTCAAGATTCCCCGCTATGTCGTGTTCGTGGCCAACTACCCCCTCACCATCTCAGGAAAGGTGCGTAAGGAGCCCAGGCTGGCCTTGAACTTGGGATCCTCCTGCCTCAGCCTCCCCAGGGCTGGGATGACAAGCCTGCCTAGCCTGGACTTTTTTGATTGTAGTATTAAAAGCCCAAGAGATCCCCCTGCCTCCAGACCCAGGCACACCGTCATGTCTGTGTGCCTAGTGTGCCCGGGCCCTGGCCTGACTGTCCTTTGTCCTTCCCTTAGATCCAGAAATTCAAACTCCGAGAGCAGATGGAACAGCACCTGAAACTGTGAATCTGAGGAGGGTCCTCCCTGGCCCTCTCCTCCCGCCCATGTCCCTGTGGTCTTGGCGACTGGGCACAAATCTCTGTGTGCCCAGGCTCCACTGGAGTGCTCCGTTGGCAGCTGGAGGGGTGGAGAGGGAAGAGACCCGCACAGCTGTGCCCTTACATACTTCGCTATGCATCAGCTACTTAATGTAACCCTCGCCCCATCCCTTTACATTTCAACCTCATTCTTTTCTTTCGTTTTTTCCCCTCACTTATTCTTTCCCCTACTGTTGCCAGATTAGTCCAACAAGAAACATTCTTTTTGAAAATAACAGCTTCATTGAGGTATAATTCACATACTATCTAATTCACCCATTTTGAAAACTTTTTTTAAAGACAGGGTGTCATGAAATTGTCTAGGCTGGCCTTGAACTTGAGATCTTTCTGCGTCAGCCTCCTGAGTAGCTAAGGTTACAGGCATACATCAGTGGACCTGGCTCAGCTCACATTTAAAGTGTCCAATTTTCCAGTGTTTTTTTTTTTTTTTTTTCTTTTGGTACCAGGAGCTGAACTCAGGACTCAGGACCTTGCACTTGCCAGGCAGGCACTGTGCTGCTGAGCTAAATCCCCAGCCCCCGACATTCTCTCCCTTGGATCCAGAGTTTTTCTCTCTTCTTGCCTGAGTGACCTGGACACCAAGGCCAGCCAAATGTGCTGCGTTCCCTGTTCCCAAGTGCCTGGAGTGTGCAGCTATGAGAATCGGCCCTAACAAAACCCAGACATAGATCAGCAGAAGTTTTTTTTTAATCACTTATGTTTTTAGAGTCACAGGATTGGCATACTCACTTGCCTGCACAAAAGCAAGATTAATACGCAGTCTTATACTGGCCACCTGTCTGAGAACCACATCCCTTCTCTGGAGAAACTGCACGAACGGCTTCCGCTTCGGGGACATGGGGAAGGGTGCCTAAGAGCTGGCTTTTGATTAATAAAGACCTTTCATCTCTGTCTCTGAGGTTAAGCTGAGTCTGAAACCCATTCTCAGAAGGTGGATTTGGGGGGCAATCTGGGGTGAAGAAGAGGGTCATTTAGGGTCAGGAGGTGGTGATTGGAGCTGAATGTGTGAGCAACCGTCCTGGCTCACGGGATGCATGTTTGGAGGACAGTGACCTTCGTGTGACCTGAGGGGGTGGTTTGTTGGACACCTGGCACGCCCAAGTGCAGCCACTGGCTCCAAGATTGGCGTTCAGGTCCCTGAAATGTGACCTTCGGCAACTGTTACCATCATGACTGACACATTAGAGGTCACTATAGCGAAGCTAGTGGGGAACTGATAATGTACTGCTCAGCCACATGACCTCTGTTTAGTGATCTTTCCTGTGTGTGTGTCTGTGTGTGTAGGGGATGAGCTCCTGCTGTCTTAGCCAGGCTAGTATCAAGCTCCTGGGTTCAAGCATTCCTGCTTCAGCATGCCAAGAAGCTGGGACTGCAGGAATGCGCCACCATGGTGCCTCAAAACCGGTGATTTCAGAAGTCCACTAGGTGGGCATGATGGCACGCGCCTGTAAGCCCAGCATTCAAGAGGCTGAGGCAGGAGGACTGCTGAGAGTTCAAGGCCAGCCTGGATTACACAGCGAGAATTTGTCTCAAAGTAAGTAAAGCAACTAATAGCAAGCAAGGCAGGAGGATTTATCAGGTTTTCCCTCGGTTTCTGCTCCGAGTTTGAAGAAACTTCTCCCTTGGGGGCTGGGGATTTAGCTCAGCGGCACAGCGCCTACCTGGCAAGCACAAGGTCGGGAGTTTGACTCCCGGTACCGGGGGAAAAAAAAAAAAAGAAAGAAAGAAACTTCTCTTGCTGGCAACCCTTACTGTTAGCAATTTTGACCCAAGCTGGTCGTTTTTCCTCTTGGAAGCATAGGTCAGTAAGTGAGATCAAGCACTGGTGAAGCAGTAAAGCAAGCTTTATTCTTGGCACTGGCCCCACTTCGAAGATGATGTGGCCAAGGTCTCACAGCTGGGATTAGCCATGCCCATACTCCAGTGGCCGGGCAGGCTGAGACGGGCTTGCACTGGTCACCAACCTGTGAGTCCCGTGAGACAGGAACCTACACATTCAGCAGGTGTGTCATTACAGATAAGCACCCAGGGACAGCAGGAGCCTGGGATTAATTTTGAGCCGGTCCTCCAAGGCCGCCCGGTGTGGACCGAATCTCCTCTGTGTGTGCTCACTTGCTCCGCAGCTGAAGGGCCCTGGAAACCAGCCCATCCTGGCTGCTGTACCTCGGGACCAGGTCGCCTGTTGGGCTAAGGCACTGAAGGACGTCTTGCGTCTAGGGGCAATGGAGACAGAGCCTGCCTGTCCTGGCTGGTGCCTTCTGCAGATGTGGTACTTCAGCACATTCCGCAGTTATTCTCAGGGTTGCAAGACAGAAAGGGGGGTGAGAACCAGGACTGTCCCAGGCCACTAGGTGAACTGTGCTGCACTGTCAGACTCCAAAGCCCAGGGTCTTTAACTCTGCGCCTGTGTGTGTCTTTACTGGGGATTGAACCCAGGGCCTTCACACTGAGCACACCCCAGCCCTTTTTTTATTTTTTTATCTTGAGGCAGTCTTGCTATGTAGCCCAGGCTGGCCTTGAACTTGCAATTCTCCTGCCTCCTAGGCTGGCCTTCAACCCGCAATCCTCAGCCTCCCAGATGCTAGGATTACAGGTATGCCTACCATGCTGGCTAACTCTTTTCTATTCTTTTTGAAATGGGGTCTTGCCTATGTAGCCCACACTGGCCTTAAACTTGGCAACCCTCCTGCATCAGCTTCCTGAGTAGCTGGGATTACAGCCACACACTGCAGCCCATTTCCTTCCACTTTGGGGGGACAGCTCATCCGGGGCTGCCTCCCCAGCACTTTCCGCGCACCCAGTGTACCCATCTCTCCCGCACACACCAACTCTGACTCCTCCCAGTGTGCGCCTGCGTTGGCCTGGCCTGGAAATCTCAGCCAATTCCCTTTGGAATTTTCCATTCCTTCTATATCCAGCCCTAAACCAGGCATGATGGTGCACACCCAACATTCTGGGAGGCTGAGGCAGGAGGATCACAAGTTTGAGCCCAGCCTGGGCAATTTAACAAGACCCTGTCTCAAAAAATAAATAAATAAATAAAACTTACAAAGGACTGGGTTGTAGTTCAGTGTGAAGGCTCTGGGTTCCATCCTCATTACGCAAAAATGAATAAATGAATGCATAAATAAATATGAAATGTAAAATTCAGCCCACGAGTTCCCCACCCTTAACACAGCTCTTGGAACAGAGTGCTTCCCAGGCCTGGCCTGGGGTCCAGAACGCATTAATGAAGTAATGCCTCCTCTGTCCTAACTTTTTGGTTTGCCTCTGGGCTGTCAGACTGCGACCCGATCTGATGCACCTCGTCGTCCCCCGCGCCCAGCTCTGAGCCAGCCAATGGAATGCGAAGGAAGTAAATGGAGGCACTATGAGCTCCTAAGGGAATGGGCCCTGGCACACGGTGCCCAAGCCCGTGCCTGCAGTGGCTGAAGTCCTAGAAAAAAACGGAGCGCGGCTGCGGTGAGCACACCGGCGTCCTGCAGGTGGCGCTGCAGACCGGAGCCCCCGTCACTCTGTCTCCCGCCGTGCCTCTTCCTTCCGCCGAGGACCCGCGCGGCAGGCTCTAAGCGCACCGAGCGCCCGGGACGCGGATCGCCTCGAGACCTTGCCCGGCTGGGCGCCATGGTCCTTCCTGGGTCCCGGGCCCGCGGCCTGGTGGCAGCTGCCAGGGCTGCCCAGAGGCGCCGCCGCGTGGACACTGCGCAGGGGCCCCCGAATGCCCACCCCGAGAGCAGGCGCGCGGCGCTCTACGTGCACGTGAGTGGGCGGGGCGAGGGCGGGGCGAGGGCGGGGCCGCGGCGCCCGGAAGCCTGGTGGCGACCGTCGCGCTGACCCCTGGTGCTCTGGTCTTTTTTTTTCTTCTCATTTTATTGGTACATTTTAGATATACATACTAACATTCATCAAAGGGAATTTTTACCTGTACATAATATATCTTGATTCTTCTTTTTTTCCCCATTCCCGGGGCCCAGGTCTTGATCCAGACACCTAAAGTCTGATACATACCAGCGCGGTGACCTTGATCAAGTGACCTTCTTTCTGAGCCCGTTTCACATTTGCTTTTTCTTAGAGACTCGCGATGTAGTCCAGGCTGGCCTTAAACTCACTATGTAGCCCAGGCTGGCCTGGCATTTGCGATGATCCTGCCTCAGCCTCCCGAGTGCTGGGATGACAGGCGTGTGCCACCACGCCCGGCCTGAGCCACCGTTTCTCATATTGACGTGGGCATCGTAACTCCAGCACCACCTGCTTGAGAAATAGAGTGGCTGAGATGTCGCAACCGCTGGTGATGTTGACCGGCCTTGGGACGGGGATGGGATTGTGTGCGATGAACCCTGGAAGTGGCCCGGGAACCTGGGGTCCCTCACCCCCCAATACTCCCCTGTCTCCTGTCCCCAGTGGCCGTACTGTGAGAAGCGCTGCAGCTACTGCAACTTCAACAAGTACGTGGTGCGCGGCGGCGTGGACGAGGCGGCCCTGCGGCGCTGCCTGGTGACTGAAGCCCGCACGCTGCTTGAGCTCAGCGGGGTTCGCAGGTGCGTCCTGGGCTCGGAGTGCACTAGGCAGGTGCGGGCACCCCAGGCCTTGCCTTGCTCCGCTCTCACCTTCTCCGACCTCTTCCCCCAGGGTGGAGTCTGTGTTCTTCGGCGGGGGCACCCCCAGCCTGGCCAGTCCCCACACCGTGGCCGCCCTCCTGGAGGCGGTGGCGCAGGCTGCCCACCTGCCTGCTGATGTGGAAGTCACTTTGGAAGCCAACCCCACTTCCGCCCCGGGCCCCAGACTGGCGGAGTTCGGGGCGGCGGGAGTCAACAGGTTGTCCATTGGCCTCCAGGTAATCCTCTCACCCCTCTTCCCAGCGCCCCCGGCCTTCAGGGCTGCCTCCTGTCATGTGGCATTTGCTCACTGGGCATTTATTTCTTTGGTTTTGATTCTTTGAGACGGGGTCTGGCTATGTAGTTTAGTTTTTATTTTATTTATTTAGTTTCTTTGTTTTGACACAGGGTCTCTTTATGCAGTCCAGGCTGTTCTTGAACTCACTACATAGCCCAGGCTAGACCCAAACTTGCCGCAATCCTCTTGCCTCAGCCCCTGGAGTGCTGGGATGACAGGAATGTGTCACCAGGCCCAGCTGGCTATGTATTTTAGGCTGGCCTTGGGTGGCACATAGGCCTAATTCACTAGGTAGCCCAGGTTGCCCTGAAACTGGCTGCCAGATCCTCCTGCCTCAGCCTCTTGAATGCTGGGATTACAAGTGTGTGTTACCATGCCTGGGTCCACACTATTCTTTTGGGTTTTTTGTTTTTGTTTTTTTGTTCATTTGAGACAGGGTCTTGCTGTGCAGTTCAGGCTGGCCTTGAGCTCACTTTGTAGCCCAGGCTGGTCTCAAACTTGCAATGATCCTCCTGCCTCAGCCTCCCGAGTGCTGGGATGACAGGTGTGCGCCACCATGCCCAGCTCCACACTTTTTTATTTTTAGTTTTGAGACAGGGTCTTGCTAGGTCCCTAAGTTGCCCAGGTTGGTCTTGAACTTTGAATCCTCCTGTCTTAGCTTCCCAGAGTGCTGGGATGACTGGCACACACGACCACACCTGGCTAGAAAGATCTGTTAGGATGAACACACAGGGGAGGCAGGCGGGTAGCCAGATCATTGCAGATGGTAAATGCTGCCTGGAAAGCAGTCTCTACAAGAAGCTTTCAGAGTCCGGTGTGAAGGGCAGCTCAGTCTGATGAAATCCTGGAAGGCGTCCTGGAGAAGTGTAGGAGGAAACGACACAGGATGTAGAAGCACCTTGCATGTTTTGGGACAACTGTGAGTCATTTCTTGTGACAGGAGAGGACAGACACAAGGCTGCCAAGCAGGGTCTGAAGGCTTTCAGCACCTACGGAGGACTCTGGAATTTCCCCTTACGAGTAGGGGAACCATTGAAGATTTTTAACTAGGGAGAAAGGTGGACTCGGATACTTCCATATCTGGGATTGTCCACTTGCTAAGACTGCCACTAAGAGATGTGCTTGCCCTTAGGAAGTACTTCATTCAGTATTTAGGCATTGAGGGGTTGGTACGTCCAGTGTGCTGCTCCTTATGGGGTTCAGATCAAGGGCTTCGTCCTGATAGGATATATTGAAAGGGACCCATCATTTCTAAGATATTATTATTATTATTATTATTATTTTGTCTTTTTGAGACAGGGTCTCTATGCAGTTCAGGCTGGCCTTGAGCTCACTTTGTAGCCCAGGCTGGCCTCGAACTCGCAACGATCCTCCTGCCCCAGCCTCCTGAGTGCTGGGACTATAGGCGTGTGCCACCGCGCCCGGCTTTCTAAGATATTCTTGTCCAAAACACTTATCTTGAAATTAATCATGCAGAAATAGCAGGTAAAGAAATGAAGAAACTCCTGGGGCTGGGGATGTAGCTTAGTGGTAGAGCACTGGGCTAGCATGTGCGAGACCCTGGCTTCAACCCCCTGCACAGGGAGAGAGGAGAGAGGTGTTCAATACTGCCCTAATGTGCAGCTGATCTTCAGCACTTGCTCATTAAGAGACTTTTTCAAAAACTGGACTGTACTCTTTGAAAAAGTCAGTGACATAAAAGACAAAGAAAAGCCAGAGAATCTGGAGTAGATTAAAGGAGACCACAGTGACAGTGACAGCTGAATGTAATGTGTGACCCTGGGTTGGGGAGGAAGGAGGAAATTAATTACAACAGGTGACATTATTAGGACACTGCCATGTGGATATGACTGTGTATGAGATAATGGTATCGTATTGATGTTACACTTCCTGAACACCGTAATTGGGTTGGATTATGTAAGAGATGTCCTTGTCCTTAGGAAATATTTCATTCAGTAGTTAGGTGTTGAGGGGTAGAATATCTATTATCCTGCTGTCCAACACAGTAGCTGGCAGCCGTGTGCTAGTGAGCACTTAAAATGTGGCTGTTTAAATTTAATTAATATATGAGCTGGGTGTGGTGGTGCACACCTGTAACCCCAGCAATTGGGAAGCTGAGGCAGGAGGATTACTGTGATCACACAGTGAGACCCTATCTCAAAATACAGACAAACAAACAAACACTGTTAGGGCCCGGTATGTAGCTCAGCAGCATGAGCGCTTGCCTGGCAAGCCTGAGATCATGAGTTCGATTTCTGGTACCAAAAAAACCCACAAAAACACACAAAAAAACAACCGAGGCTATTGGAAGCCAGGCATGGTGATGCAGGCCTGTTGGCCCAGTACTTTTGGAGGCTGAGGCAATATCTCAAATTCAAACCCACCCTGGGTAATTCAGTGAGATTCCATCTCAAAATAAAAAATAAAAAAAGGGCCAACTCTGGGTGTGGTGGCACAGGCCTGTAATCCCAGCACTCGGGAGGCTGAGGCAGGAGGATTGCTGAGAGTTGAGGCCAGCCTGGGCTACAAAGTGAGTTCAAGGCCAGCCTGGACTGCATAGACCCTGTCTCAAAAAGACCAAAAAAAAAAAAAAAAAA